AGCGACTGCTTCTATTATCATGCTCCCTGTTGTATTACTTCTGATGAAGGCAATCTTGTCAACATTTGGATGATATGCCAAAGAAATCATAACTTAGGGGCTTGATCCAGTTAGAATGTTCAAGACACCTGGAGGAAAACCAACCGTCTTACACACGTCAACCAACCTCAAACAGGTGATAGATACCAACTCGAAAGGTTTCAGTATTGCAGCATAATCTGCAGCCAAAGCAAGAGCTACTTTTCAGACGACCATCAACGGTGGATACTTCTATAGAGTAATCAATCCAATGACCCCAAGTGGTTTCTCAAGCACATAACTCTTAAACGTCTCAATAGGAAGAGAGATGGCAACCTTTTGCTTCGTATCTAAACTTTCGGTAAGGTATGTATAGTACTCAAAACATCTAACAACATCATCAATATCCCAAGTTGCTTCATCAAGTGATTTTCCGTAATCAATTGCTCAAGCTTTGCTAATTCAAATTTTCTCTTTGTTGTTTTGGAAACGATGGCCCCTAAATACTTGGCATGAACAGCGTCAAAAGCTTAAGCCTAATCTTTGCTTTTGTTTCTAGAAAGAGCTTTCTGAGCAACAGCCACCGCAAACTTCACATCTTCAGCTATAGCTATTGTGATCGATGTTCTGTTCAATGGTAGGATAGATAATTGAAATTCACTTCTTGAAAACAGGCTTTCTCTGCTCACTGTCGATGAGTAACATTCGACTCAAAATTTGGACCACCATGTTAGATCAGTTTGCCCCTAAAATCTTATTCAACTTCCCTTTTAAATTTTTCCTGAGCTTTTTCTATTCTCTCGAGACGACTAAAATTTTCTTGTTCCATTAGTCTGACTTGAGCTCTTGTATTGGTGAACGGGGTTATTTGGTGGAGCTATCCTTAAACCTTCAGCACCACAATTATGATTAAAAATGCTATGCTTTATGTATGATGCGTCGATGCATGAATGAAACGTATATTTTACTAAATCAAATCTAATATGAAATGGATGCAAATGATTGTGTTAAAACATGATCATGAAAGTAATGCAGATGCATAAAATCAGACAAACAACATAGTTAGTTTCATGGATGAAATGAAAATGATGCTAATGCATAATGTTACATATGATAATGAAAATGATGCACAAAGTTAAACAATCAAAATGATTCGATAAACACCCCTTTTGTGTCTTAATTTCATGGTATATCTATCATTGGGTAGAAAGGGCTCTATCCTAGGCTTAGGCACTCTTAAGGTTCACTATATGCGATTTTAAGGTCAAAGTCTAAAGGTTTTCAAATTGCTCCTTACATCTTTGTCCATCACAGACTAGTAAGGCACCCTAATCCTCACCCATTATAGGCTACAAGAGAAAAATGTTCAATTTGAGTGGGAATATTTCGCTAGCAACTGTGGAGGCATTAGACCTCACGAAAGTAATAGGTACTTTACTCCCTCCTAGAGGGACGGAGCTCGGGTGTAGAGCTCATGTTATGCACATGCATATGAATGACATAATTAATAAGGTAAATAAACATGAATGAATAATAACACATATATACAAAAGGGTTCAATTTTATTAGGCTTTTGGATAACACAAATTATTTGCTGGCCTAACTCTCAAAGTCCCCAGTGGAATCGTCAAGCTGTCATAACGTCTAGATCCGGGGATCTACCGCTAGACATTAACTTTAGGGAGTCGCCACCAATCTTTTTTATCTAGGTGCGATTGGCCACCAAAAGAATCTATCCTTTCACGGAACACCTAAGTTTAAGGGTCCCTAAAAGAATAAGTTCAGGTCTACTAACCAGAACAGAGTTCGGGAGTTCGGTTACGTGTGAGGAAGGTTATAGCACCCTCACAACGCCCATCAAAAGATGGTACTAGCTTAAATTCGTGTTATCCAAAAAGCCTTAAAATTTTACCAAGTAATTAATTATTAAAAATTATTCTCAATTGACTCTAATACTTTTAGTAAAAAATTGAGAAAATTCTCTCACCTCAGGAGTATACAAGAAAAATTACTGTTTCACTTGCAGAGGCTCCGTCGTCGGATTAATTAAAGAAAAATCAAAATCAAAATAGAAAGGAAGGAAAGAATGATTGTTCTCGTGTAGAAAAAATTGATACTTTCAACTTTTTCAAAAAAATTTTTATTTTTTTGGAAACTTTGATTTTCAAGAAAAATTGATACTTTCAACTTTTCCTCAAAAACTCTTTTTTTGAAATTTTATTTTTAAGGAAAATTGATACTTTCAACTTTTCCCTAAAAATATTTTTTTGAAAATTTATTTCTAAGAAAAATTGATACTTTCAACTTTTCTAAGGAAAATTGATACTTTCAACTTTTCCCCAAAAATTTTTTTTGAAAATTTATTTTTAAGAAAAATTGATACTTTCAACTTTTCTCCAAAAATATTTTTTGATTTTTATTTAAAGAAAATAGAACAAAATAAAAGTGAAAATAAATAAAGATAAAAAAAAATAAAGAAAAGTAAAACAAAAATAAAAATAAGAATAAAGATAAAGATAAAAAAATATTAAATAAATCTAATCTATAAATAATAATAAACAAATAATAAAAAATTCTAAAAAAAAAAAAACCTGGAGCGGCTCGTGATCGCGGCTTTGGAGCTCGCTCGATCGCTGGAAGGGGCAGACAACGCGCGGGTCAGGAAGCGGGTCCGACGCTCGGGTCCGGGTCGGACTCGACAAAAAAACGCGCGGATCCTCTAGGTTACTTAAGGCCAAAACGACGTCATTTTGAGAGGGTATAAAAGGCACTTCCCTCTGTTTTTCGGCAGAACGCTCCTCCCCTCTCTCTCTTCTTCTTTTTTCCTCTCCCTTCTCTCTAAAAGGCCGAAGAACTCCGGTTGAAGATTCATCAAATTCTGGGTTTTGTCACCGAAATCTGGGTTTTTTCGCCTGAAGTTCGTCGGAAGGTCACCGGAAACTGGGCACGTCGTCGAAAACTTCAAGGTTGGCCAGAATTTTCACCAAAAAATTCAAACTTTGCCGGAAAATTCACCAAAATCTGGAATTTTTCAGAAATTCCCAGAAAAAAAAATCGTCAAAAATTTTCAAAAATTTTCTGCTAACTCCCCGAACACTCTTAAACCTCTTCTCGACTTCCTATACGCCTCATTTTCTCTCAAATCAGTAGCTTTGCTCACTGTTTATTCTGTGTTCTTCATCTGTTTCAGAGGGTCCCTTTTATAGGGATTGATCAAGAGTTTCTGATCAATCCCAATTCTTTTTTGGACGGGATTCAATCTTCGAATCCAATCTGAACTCTTCTGATTGAATCCTCACTCACAGCAGGTTTCTTCAACTTTCAATCAAAAGCCCTGTCCAAATCAATAAAAAAATAGCTAAATTAGAAAAGTAATAAAAAAATATTATAGATAAATAAAAAATAATAATAATATCAGATATAATAATTAGATAAATAAAAAATACAAAATAAATAAAATAAAATAAAAAATATATATATTGTAATAATAAATAATAAAAATACATAGGATATTTGTTACATAAAATATAAATAAAATAAAATGATAAAGATAAATTGGACCTCCCATTTAGACCAGGCCCATTGAGTCCGGGCTGGGATCAATTGGGTGTCTATATATGTTCTTGTTAAAACTTCCCAGAGAAAAGCTTGAGCTTTGCAAGTAACTTGGGCCGGATGAGTTCCTGGCCAAAGTAGTTCAAATGAAACTGCTATGGTGATGAATCTCCTCCTAATGGGGCTGGAGGGAAAGATTGTTAGGAAAATGGGGTCCAGTCCAATGTAAGTGGTTTTGGACCAAGTAAAGGCCATGAGCCTTGATCTTTTATTTTACACAGAGCCCTAGTTACTTAATAAAAAAGAGGTGGGGTTGTTTTAGGTGTGTGTCGAAAATCAAGCAGAGAAAGAAGAAAAGCCAGGAAAAGCAGAGAGAGAAAAAGGAGAAGGGAGAGTTGGTTAAACGGAAGTCGATCCGTGATCCAATTGAGTTAGAACATTGCCAGGAGGTTTATGATTCAAAGTTCTACATTCTGAATGGTGAAGATCGGGTTTGAAGCTCTCTAGGAACAAATCCATAGTGTATTTGTTGAGTCACTTATTTGGTAAGATTTCTCCAATTATTTCTCTAGTTGTTGATTAGCTCTAGTTTTAGCTAGAGAAAAACTTTGTATAACTATTATTTGATAGTGAAGATTTTTCTGGTGGCCCGTGATTTTTTCCCTCTATACTGGAGGGTTTTCCACGTAAATCTTGGTGTGCTTTATTTTTCCTGCGTATTTGATTATTGATTGTTGTCTATTGCCTTTGTATTATTGTGATTATTGCTTCAGGCGCAACAGAAAGATATATATAAAACTTATTTGAAAAAAAAAAAGATAATTTTAAAAAAAATTATATGATGATTGTTATCTATAGTTTTTTTTGTTTTAATTTTTAATATTAATAAAAAGATAAACGTAATAATCTTTTTATAAAAAAAAAAATTTTCAACTTTCCTTTCGTTAGCATTTCTTTCAAATCAAGATATTAAAAAAATTAATTTTACAAAAAAAAATAAAAATTATTTAATTTTCACCTCTTTTCTTTTCTTTAAATTAAATATTTATCTAAAGATTTTATTTCCTTTACTTTACTTTACTTTATTTTCTTTTTCTTCATTTCCCTTTAATTCGAACACACCGTAAAAAATTATTAAAATGTGGATAAAATTTTTTTAAAAAAGTCAAATTGTCAACCCAAATATATGTATTGGCGTCAAAATACCCGAAAGAACTCAGGTGTCAACACAGGTTACAGGTATTATCCGTCCTGTATATTATAATTTCATTCTCTTTCTGGTTTCCTTCTCTCTTTTCTTTCATTTTTTTTTTTTTTCTAGATTCTTTGAAAAGCTTCACTACACAGAAACTCAGTTTTTGAAAACAAATATAAATTTTAGTTTCAAAATTACTCCTTAAATATTTTTTAAGACAAAAAATGATCTAACTCTTTATTACAAGGAAGGGATAGTTTTTATCGTTTGTATAAATTTTCAATGTATGAAAGGCAGTCTTCAAAGTTCCAAAACTCCAAAATTTTCTATAATTATTGAAGCGAAAAATGTATAAAAGAATTAAAGACAAAGAAAATAAGCAAATGATTGTATGTTAATCGATACCATTCACAACGAATGTCGAAAAGGCCATAAATGTGAGATTTTCCTGCGGGGAGGGGGGTCAGGAAAATCAAAATCAAAATCTTCGAGCACAGCAACTGGCCATTTTCCGATCATTTTCTTCAGGATTTCACCACTTTTTCTGAATCCATGAAGACACAAAATTCTGGGTTTCCTCCGCATTTCACTTTCCAGAATTCCCTCTTCTTTCCTTCCATTTGTTCATCGAATTGAAAATGTTGGCATAGAATGTTGTTTTCTCACGTAATAGCTACATAAAATTTGGCCGTCCACATTATCATGGGGCAACTGGCAACTTGTTCTTATCCACTAGTTAGAATCAATTAATCTGCCATTGAATTCCAGCACATGTTTATTCTTGCATACATCCATGAATTCCATCCATGCTTGCTGAGATCTCAGGCAGTTTATTTCCAATTTTATAAAAGATTTAAATTGGAATGAAGCCTTCTTCCTTCCATCAGAAAAAATTTATTATATCAGTTCATGTTCTTATACTTCAAATTGTTTTTGCACAATCAGATAGATTTAAGGCACTATTGGTGTTGATAATCAAGGTGGAAAAGTTTTTGGTGGGGAAATAGAAAGTGAACCTCTGCTTGCATCTCTGGCACTGCAGATGCTCTAACTCGCTACCTGCAAGGAAATCATTAACTCATGAATTTAAGAAGAAAAGTGGTTTAAAACAAATAGCTGAATCAAATGGGTTTAATTCTTTTCATTACTTCCTGAATCAATAATAGTCAATACGATGATGATCTATTTCTACAAGAAAAATAATCAAGTTAAAAAACAATGATGATGCCTGTCATAAAATTTAACATTCCCCACCTGCACCTGTTAAATATAAACTCTTTATCTTTTTCTCAGCAAGTATGGATTGAGTCAGAAGATCAACCTATAATGCAGCCTTTGGTCCCAAGGCAATCTGTAGGTCTATTGAAAACATCTCCTGAATTTTCTCAATGAACTTGAGCATAGTCTTTTGGCCTTTCTCATCTGTTACAATTAAGCAAGGTGAAAATGAGAAATAAGATTACTGGATTTGCAACCTTGAACCTTGAGAGTTGAAACATATTGCTATCGTGAAATAAGGTTCTTTTCTCTTTATTTTTTGAGAGTAAAGTTTTGTGGTAGAAATACCAACCGAGTTTTGGTACGGTGTGCCCCATTGAATGATGAATAACAAAGGGCTTTACAAATGATTTTAGTAGCTTAATCCCCCGTTCCTTCAGGAAATCCTTGTCTCCTGATTAAGAAATTGACATTTTCAGACAACAATGGAGGATTTACAGGTCCTAAAACTAGCTCCTATTATTATTTTTCTTTGTGGAATCAAAAGTCGGATATAAAGAAACTATACATGCAAATGATAAACAAACAATCATTAGCAATGCAGAAATACAATTTGCATCAAGAAACAAGAGTTTAAATTTGTTTCCTAAGAGTAAAAACTGCAAAATTTAGGGTAGCACCTTTAAAGTGTCAGGCTCTAAGAATCGTAGTCATTACTGTCACAAATTTTGCAGCTAAAATGTGATTGACTAGATCTTACTTTCTTAAAGGTGTAGTTAATTTGTTCATCTTTCCAGAAGATTATCTTGAGATTGAATCAACTTTGTGCAACTTTTCTATGGAAATTAAGATAAAGAATATAGAAATGTGTGCCAGGGTAAACCATAAGTTTCTTCAGCATCCTAAAGTTCAAAAGGTTTCAAGAGTTAAACAACAAAGGTTTTTTGAGGAATACATGGACTCCTTTTACTCAAATGGACTCAGTTTAGACCGCTTTCAGTCTAGACTATCAGCTTAACCACAAAAGTCCCTTGCATTCTGTACTCTATAGCTAATATTATCAAATAAAAAAAAAATTCTAAAGCTTATGCCAAAGTTTGTTGTACTCGGATGCTTTAAGAATTCAGTTACTGTAAAGCTTTAAAGATTCATACAAATTTACAATTTATTTGCCAAAAAAAACTGTTGCAGCTTAGAGACTGCTAGGTCTCATGTCAGCCAATAATTGAAGGTAGCAACTGTACTCTTTTGTGGTATCATAACTAGCATTGGAAGGTCCTCTGCTTCTAAATTATTACTAACAAAAAACATATTATTGCCTTTTTGCTTTGGATGAGAATGCAAAATTTGCAGCTAATAAAAAACAATAATTCTTCTTTGCCTTCTCCATGATCTAAAGCTCTTATCGAAAATCAAGCTAGCTTATGCGCTGTCCTCTTTCGTTTTCCAAAACAATAAAGATTATGTTAGTATTTAGCTTCTTTCTAGTTCAAATCTAGATAATATCTGTAGCATTTTTTATTGAAGTTTACTTTTTTATATTTAAAACAATTAAATTTAACGCAAAAGTTCTTTTAAAAATACAAGGTAAAAAGTATTTATATGTTTATATAATATGACTTTGTATATAAATACGATCTCACTGAGTATTAGTCGTTATACATACCCGTTGTCTCATTTTTTTTCCCCTCGTTTTGTGCTGGGTTTTTTATGCTCTGCAACTTTCCTTGCGGCTTTTTTTGCAGCTTCTTGTTAACTTATTAGCAGGCTTAGTCTAGCAGGCTCAAGATCAATGAAATGCAAATGGGAACTTTGGTAACCCAAAATGTACTAGAACTAGATGAGGACAATTAAAATTACAAAAATAAGTCCTCAACTTACCAATCATGTGAAGAGATGGGCACTCAACTGGAGCTGAAAATGCATTAACAAGCAACTTAGGTGGCCCAGACTTCAATTCTCGAAGTGCAAACCCTGATATTACGACCACAAACTTTATCTTTGGCACTTTTGTGAAGGCAACACCCTGTAATCAAAATTCAAGCACACCAGTCAGTAACAAATATCCTCATCCTGATTGTCAGAGTAACTTCAAAGAACTTTTCAAGCTTCTCTGACCAAAAAGGGGCATACCTCTCTTTGCATCCAAGGCAATACAGATGCTAGCATTCCGCCCTGAAATTCATGAAATTGGCCAATTATTGATTTTAATGAGAAAACTGAAAAGAGTATTATACGAGATTTTAAGTTTCAATTATTTTACCTGGGAAAAACCCAGTAGACCATCAAAGGGACCATGCTTAATCATATGATCTTCTATATATGCAATACACTCCTCAAAATTGAAACACTCAACCTGAACATAAAAAAGTAAAATAAATGGAAAAAGTAGTGTTGTTCATCTTCCATTTCATTACATGGCGATAGCCATTCATCAATAGATATTAAGCTGAATGATCAAACCTTGTTGACTTGATACCATTCATAATAGGGAGGATCATAAAGGCCTTCAATATCAGATTTTCCCTTGGCAGGAGATGGGGCGTCAGGAAAATCAAAATCAAACTTTTCAAGCACGGCATCAGGCCATTTTCCCATCATTTTCTTCAAGATTTCACCGCTTGTTCTGAATCCATGGAGGCATAGAATTCTGGGTTTCCTTCTCCGCATTTGACTTCCCAGCATATCCTCTCCTGTGCCACTATTTGCTAGATGATTTTAATATTTACAACACAAACAATCTATGAATAGAATATTGAAGATGTTGGCCTAGAATCCTGTTCTCTCTAGTCCACGCTATCACGGTGTGGGCGGCCACTAAGCCTTATCCTCTATATATAAATTTTGCTCATGTACTTGAGCACATTTCTGAATATTCGTGCCACGTGTCATTTAATGGTTGTTTTGCTTTTTCAAATTTTTTTCTGATTTTTATTTTTTCCTATTTTTTAAATAATTTTATAAATATTTTCAAAGATTTAAATTTTTTTTAAAAGTGGAATCCATTTTATCAAACTTTTTTTCCTTTTTACCATTTTCTTTTAAAAAACTATAAATATTTTTATTTTATTATTTTACGGCTTTTACTCTTTTTACGGATTTGGATTAGATGAAACCAAAACCAATTGAGGTGTAAAGACTGAAGCCACATCAAAAATGATAAGGCTGCGAAGCGTCATAAATTTATGAGTCGGGAATTAATTATTAAGGAATTATTATTTTGATTTTTTTAATATGTTTGGAGAAATCTCATTTTTATTCAAATTAAAAAAAAAAACATTTGGATGCATTTAATATTTTAATTCTGAATTAATCATAAAAAGATGAAATCTTTACTAGTAAAAAATTAAATGAACTTTATGCTATTAAGGGATTAATATGCAGTTTGTGAGAGAAATTAAAGGATTTAATGTTATAATAGCAAATATTATTAATATTGAGTAATTAAAGGCATTTTGTTAAGTCGTAAATCTTTTTTTTTTTTGAAACATACATCATTTAATGTTTGTATTTATAGTAAATTGATTTAGTAAAATACATGATAAAATCTTATTTGATTTAAATAATTTGTTTAAAAATAGAATTTGATTTAATTTTTAAAATTTTATAATTTAAACTTGAAATGGCATAAATCCAAATTAATTTAAGTGTTAAATTTAATTACTTAAATGATTTAATTATAAAATAACTTCAATTTAAAATAATTTGAAATTGAGATAAGCTGAATCCTAAATAATCTAAAAAAATAGACACTAAGGCATAATAACATTAACCTAAAGGGTCTCAATATGATAAAATCAAATTATTTAAAATTGAAAGATGAATCAAAGAGAAGTCCAATATATTTTTAAAGTTGGGTTCGGGTTAAATTTAAGTTTTAGATTACAACATCTCAATCCAATCTAGGTATATATAAAATATATTTTTAATTACTTATTTTATTTTATATCTTACATATAAATTTTGCTCATGTACTTAAAGCACAGTTCTCAACTTTACAGTGTCACGTGGCACTCTTCCTCTTCATTTTTTTTTTTTTTTACATTTTTTGGTTTTTTTCACAATTTTTTTTATTTTTTTTCATATTTTAAAAAATAATTTTGTAAATATTTTTGCAGATTTAAATTTTTTTAAATGTGGGATCTACTTTATCAAGCTTTTTAAAATAAAAATAATTAAATATTTTTTATTTTATTATTTTATGAGACTCACTTCATATCATGATAAAATAACATTAACCTAATGGATTTTTATCCGTTCTGGTCCGATTATGTGAAATGTTTTAAAATTGGAAGACAAGTCAAAAACAAGTTGAAAATTTTTTTTATGATTAGGTTCGAGTCAAAGTTTGGTTTTAGGTTGTATTGTCTCGACCTGATTCAAGTATATATAAAATAATTTTTTTATAATTTATTTTATTTTATATTTATATATGTTATATTAAAAATTTTATTATTTAATATTTTAATTTAAATATTAATTTAATAAAAATATTATATTTATATATAATTAAAAAATATATTTTATATTAAAAATAATATTTTATAAATCTTATAATAATTAAAATTATTAAATTAATTTTGAATCAAATCAAAATTAGATGTTAATATTAAAAATCGAACAAAAACTCATTTTGACCTTATGCCATCCTAAGGGTAAGTTGTGTGTTTTTTTTTCAATAATTTTATTTTTATATATTTAATAAATTTAATACTTAAATTCTTGTTTGTGTACTTAATCGCGATTCAACTTGTCGGCAGCTTTTTTTTCAACTTTTTTTTTTTTTTCTGTTTAAAACTTTTTTTTTTACTTTTAACCTTTTAGTTATTATTGCTCTTTTTTTGTTAATTTTACTTTTAACTTTTGCTTTTCTATATTTAACAAATATCTTTAATGATACTTTTAAATTTTCATGGGACCCATTTGGTACCAATTTTTTTATTTTTTACTTTTCAAAAATATTTAATAAATCTCTTTTAGATTTTTATTTTTATATTAAGATCCACTTTATACCAAAATATGTATGTTATTATTATTTTTTTTAACTTGTTTCTACTTTCTTCAACTTAAGGTACGTCACATGCCACTTCCTCGTCCTTCATTTTTTTGTTTTCTTTGATTTTTTAAATTATTTTCATATTTCTTAAAAGAATTATAAATATTTTTAAAATTTTAACTTTTTTAAAGGTGAGACCCACTTTACCAAGCTTTTCTCCTTTTTTTCTATTTCTTTTTACTATTTTCCTTTTAAAAAATAACTATAAATATTTAAAAATTATAAAAAAATTTAGTAAATATTTTTTGAAAAAGTAAAAAAAGAAAATATCTAAGAAAAAATTCTTTAAAATATTTAATAAATCTTTATTTTCCTTTTTATACATTTAATAATTCCATTACTTAAATTTTTTTCATGTACTTAATTAGGGATCTATGTGTCGCCATTGTATTTTTTTTTGTTTTTTATTTTTAAATTTTTTACTTTTATTTTTTATTTTTATTGCATTTTTTACTTTTTTAAAAGTTTTTTTGTTATTTTTACTTTTAAAATTTTCTTTTTATATTTGAAAAATATTTTAAATGATTTTTTAATTTTTTATAAGAATCACTTGGTACCAAAATTTTCTTTTCTTATTTTTCTTATTTTACTTTTTAAAAAATTTAATAAATATTTTTTAAATTTTAATATTTTATGAGTGAGATCCACTTTATCCAAAGATATGGCACTTTTTTTTTCATTTTTTTACTTTTATTTTTTTTAAAACATTTACTATATAATTATTCATATTTATTTTTTATGCCACTTAATACCAATAGCATGTCATATGTTAAGCCTATTAATTTTTTTCTTTATTTACATTTTCTTTTTACTTTCTTTTATTTGATTAACATTTTAAAATATTTTAAAAATTTTAAACATGGGACCCATTTTATCTAACTATTAGAAAGGTTTTTTTTTTTGTAATTTTTTAGTTTTTGCTTTTTAAATCCATTATATAATTTTTTGAAAAAAAAATATTTATCATTATTAATATAGCGGGGCAACTCAACTTTTTCCTTTTTTTCTATTTCTTGCTTTTTGTCTTTTTTTATTTTTTTTCTTCCTTCTTTTTTTTTCTTTTAAATTATATCATTTTGTAGAAAAAAAATAAAAAAAAAATATGTACACGTTGTACCCAATTTTATTTTTTACCTTTCTTTTTTTTTTTTTTTTGCATCTTTTAACTTCTTTTAAATATTTAATACATTTTTAGAGGTGCCACGTGGCACTTTTATCACTTCCCTTATTTTTTTTAATATTTAAATAATATTTTTTAATTATTTTATATATTTAATAAATATTTTTATTTTGATTTTTTACCCACTTGATATCAAGTACTACCTTTTTTTAAAAAAAATATTAAATATGTATTTCAAAGATTTAAATTTTTTGTGTTGGACTTAATTGATATTAGAGGGCTGCCACGTTTTTTGATTACTTGTCACTAAGGATATGCCACATATTAAGTTATTTCTTTCTTCTTTTTTTTTTTAATTAACTCATTTTTTCATAAAAAGAAATTGGTGAATAAATTTTTTGAAGAAAAAATGTGAATGGAAGTATGAATAATAAAACAACCGTATGCAGTGAATTTTTATTTGTTTGATCCACTAAGTACATTTTTTTGTTTGCAATCAGATCAAGTTTTTCTTGAAAATTAGGGTTAGGTTTTATCGCAACGATTTTAAATACTATTAAATGAAAATTTTAAACAAAAAGAAGTTGTCATTAATTTTTTTTTATTAAGTGTGATTGGTCACCTATTAAAACAAATATTTTTAATAAAATCTTAAAATTAATTAAAATTTTGTTAAAAAAATAATTGTTGGGTCTGCAAAAATAATTTGAGTTTGAGAGTCGGTTAAGCGTAGAGAATGATTAGCTTCACAATACCTATTAACAAATAACACCAATTAATTATGTGTTATCTTTTAATTTTGACAAAATATCTTAATTTTGCTATTTAAAAATCAAGTTACTTAATTTTTCTTATTGTGAAAAAAACATTTTTTTCAGCTATTGGCTTGAAAAATAAATAAGAATATTGCATATTGAAAAATCTTTAAAAATATTTCAATATTCTGATAATATTAAGAAAAATTTTCTCACCTAAAGAATTTTTAAGAATTACTGCTAGTAATTCTTAAAAATCCTATTTTCAGTGATTTATATTTATATTCAATATTTATATTTACCAAGCATATTATAAAATATGATATCTATAATTTAAAATCAAATAATGCTTTATTAAAATTAATTTCTTATAGTAAAATGAGAAATCGTTATAAAAAAATTATTCTAAATGTTTCCAAGTATTGGTGTCATTTTAAATAAATTTTCTTAGTTTGAGACTTATAAAGAATCGCTATTCGAATTTCTTTAAGATCTTATCTTCGAATATTTCATTTACTTTTATAATTGGTATATATAAAATATAATGCACATAGATTACTTTGTGATGCTATTGCATTGTATAAAAGTTTGTTTTTAGAAATAAAAAGTAAACGAGAGTCTTTTTGGTATTGAAATTCATTCTAAATATTCAAATACTTTGACAATATTTTTTGAAAAAAAATTTTCACTAAAAAAATTTTCAAGAATCACTAGTTGAATTTTTTGGAATCCTATCATCGAAAACCGTATTATTTTCAAGATTACATAATGCTAACGACAAATGCATATGCATACAAAAAATCTTCTTTTTTTATTTTTTTTTACTTTGTATCTTATTATATTTTTATTACCTTTTTACCGCTTAAAAAAAAAACCTATTGCTTATTTTTCTTAGGTTATATCTTTTTCGTTATTTGCTTAAATGTTATCTTAATCATTTAATTGTTTCATAATTATTATTATTAATTTTTTAAAATGAACAAAGTAATGAAAATCTTTTTATTGAAAATTTTTCTCGACATCTCAATACTTTGGTAATATTTTAGAAGAATTTTCTCACCTATAATTTTTAAAAAAATCTCTACTCGAATTTTTTTAAAATCCCATCTTCAGAGATTTTTATTTTCATTTTGTCCCTTCCTTTTTTTAATTTTATTTTTACTCTAATTCTAATTTTTAATTTTTATGATTATAAAATTTTTTAATTTTTTTTAGAAAATAAAATTAGTTAATTATAATATTCATGTATAATTATATTAATTTCATTACTAAATATAGTCATTTTTCCTTTTCATTATTTCCCTCTTTTATATATCATCAATTAATTGTAAATACAATTGTAAGAAAATAAATGAATGAAAATCTTTTCACTCAACGAGGAAATACTTTTTTTTCTTTCAATTAGCTTTCTTTATCATATATTAAAAGGTATAAAATTATATAAAATATTAATTCTTATATTTTGTAAGAAATATTTGTAAGTTTTTTATTTTTACCTTTGACTTTACACTAAATCATGTAATTTTTTTCTCTCAATTAAACTTTTTTACAATATGCAAAAAGACTTTCATTATTTGCTTGATTACATTGATTTAAGCGTGTTACTTATGTCCAAATATTGTTACAAATAACAATAACTAATTAGATTTTGAAATCATATTTTATATATAATATAAAAAGCCCATTGATTAGGATTTTGTTTAAAAATTTATAACTTGCATATTTATGTTTGATTAATGAATATGTTTCAAAATTTCAAAAAAAAAAAAGAAAAGTAAATGACTGATATTTAATATAATTCTTCAACTTTATTAGGCAGTGGACATTTTCATTGGTTGGATTATAGGTCAGATTTATAATTTTATGTATAATTTTTTAAGTATGAATTTAAAATATTATTATAATAAAAAATTAATTAATTTTTAATTTGAAATATATTTAATATTATACATTTTAAACATTTTAACAATAAATATAAATTGAATAAGTCGTTTGAGTTAGACTTGAAACAAAATCTAGAATTTAGAAATGTTTACCTACCAAAGTCATAGACATTTCTTAATTTTTTTTAAATTCATATTTTTTAAATATATATTGAATGTTGAAGAAAATATCAAATGCTTAATAAATGAGATTCAACTTGAAAAATAATAATAAAAAAAGAAATGAATTTAGATTTCAATTTATCCTAATTTTTTTATAACAAAAATGAGTGTTATGACTTTGAAAAGTCTATAGATGAAAAAAAATCTATTAATTATAAAAAATTACAAATATATTAACAAATTTATCTCATTCAATAATTAATATTCATAAACCCTCTTATTTTCTTTTAAATCTATGAAATGTTATCAACTGAAACAAATATTTATTTATATGTATCTATATCTTATAATTTATGTGAATCTACTCATTATCTTTTAATCCATTCAAACATACATATTTATAATTAATATTTTATAGTTTTATGAATATCTACCAATAAAATATTATAACTTTCTTATATTTTTTTAGAAAGTGTATATACTTGGCTACGAAGAATGTTTTTCTTTTAAAATTATTTTTTGTAAGTTTATTTGTTTACAAAATAATTCTAACCAATTTTAAATAAATTTATTATAAAATTTAAATCATTATTTAAAAAAATTTTATTTCTTACCTAACTATGTTTTTTCTTAGATTTATTTTCGGGTTTAGGTCCTGTTCTTTTGCATTTTTTTTTCTGATGCTTCTCCATATTTTCAAAATAGATTTTGGATAATCAATAAATGGTTGGTTCAATCGATTAGGTTTATCCTCTTCAACGAAAAAATTTTAGATTTGAGTTCTGTCGATGATCATTTATTAGGATTATTTCAAATACACGAATTACAATCACCTATCTTAAACTATTAAATATAATATCTATTACCTTAATTTGAAGAATTAAACAACCTATCTATTTTGAATTTTTTTTTTAAAAAAGAGGTTTCTAATATATTTGGATGATTGAGTATGTTGATGAAGATGATGATGATGTAAAAATGGTAGCTTTGCTGTTCGTAGAGGTACAGCTAGGGTTGGCATCGAGTCGGGTTTGGGGCGGATTTTTCTCGCCCGAATCCGACTCGACTTTACGCATTAAGATACCTAAATCCGACCCTACTCGAATTTTTTTTTTTCATACCCGAACCTGATCCAACCCGATACTATATAAATTGTATCCAACCCGACATCGACCCGAAATTAATAAAATATTATTTTTTAAAATATAAAATATTATTTTTTAAAATAAATATTTAAAAATATCATTATATAAATATATATAAATAAAAAATTAAATAATTAATTAAAAAATAATTTTTTATATAATATCGAATTAAGTCGGATTGGATATACTTAAAATCCGAATCAATCGAACTTTAATTGTTTCATAATATTATCCGACTCGACTCAAAATCTGAAATTAAAAAACAAAAATCGATCTTATAAGATCGGGTTGGATTACCATATCTAGATACAGCTGAATGGTAAAAGTTTGATTACTTTTGATTTTGAGATATTCGATAGGCGGTCACGAAACGCGGTCGTTTCAAACTTTTCCTTAGTCTTCACTCTTGGGCCGAGCTAATGTCACCAACCAATTATCTCGCTGTCGCCCGCCGTACACCGACACCGAACGACAGAATAATGCAGAGTATAAGCGGCGCAGTTCGTGTTTTCCGTACAACCCCATTGGTGGGATCGCTTTGGGGTCGCGGTTCCTGCTCCAATTTATTTGTTGGAGGTCTTGAATTTTCTCACTCCCCTTTTTCCTCTTTCACCTAACGATGACAAATCTGGCTCTGCGCTGAAAAAAATTTTACATGAAAGTGGTAATTTATTAAATTTATCATTATATAACTGGTTCGTGACAAGTGTTGCTAATTGCAGGCCTTTCATATGATACCAATGAAACTGTTTTGAAGAATGCTTTTGAAAAACATGGTGAAATCATTGAAGGTAATTTTCTTGGATTCTTATTTCCTTCGACATATTTTTGTGTCTTACGAGGTAAAAAAAATGTTGGGATTTTAGCAGTTAGGGTTATTTGTCATCATGTGAATGGGAAATCAAGGGGGTATGGATTTGTGCGGTTCGCTTCTGAAGCTGCAGCCGACGCTGCTCTTAAAGAAATGCATTCCCAGGTGTGTTTGAAGTAATTAATTCAATAACTCAATTATACCCTATATATTTATTTGTTTCTTTTCTAATAAATGAGCAATTGAACTGAGACTTCATGTTGCATGTTGTGGTTGTTTTTAGGTACTGGATGGTAGAAATAGTAGAGTTGAATATGCACACGAGGGATGATCATTGGTGTTTCTCACCACAGCTTTGATTTCTTCCATGATGGTAGATTTTTTAATTTCAATAATCAATGTAAGAAATTTGATATTATCATTTTCTTTTATATGTTTGATACTTTGATCAGTGAATAACTTAGGTGTATATTGCATTTACATACCTGAGATCTTTGTAATAATTTTGAATTGCTTAGAAATTAATTAAATCTCCCGATGTAGGTTTTGAATCTCCAACCAAATGTTTAATGACCGAAGAGGCCAATACTCCAACTGCATCATGATGTTCTGAAACCTAGTTTGTGTACTGATTTAGCGGGGTGGGCAGAAATACAATTGCTTATGTCTGCTAGAGACACTATTTATTGTTTTTGGAAAGAAATCTGAAAACATATGTGACGCTGTATACGGGAAGTCACTTCTCTGTTTCCGTTGGGTCATTGTGATCAAGTTTATTGTTAGAGCACAAGCTAAATTTTGCAGAGCTTATACGCTTGCCATGTAATGTTTTAACCAATCCATTATTGGGTCCATTGTGAAAGTGTTTTGAGCTTTAGTGTATAAGTTGCATTTAGGAGAGAAATGGGGGAATTTGGGGTCAGTTGTACAGTTTTTGTCTTCACATCCTTGTGATCTGTAATGAACGGTTTTTGCTGCTCATCATCATCTTAGCAACTGTCATTACTAATTTTAGTTTACTGGCTAGGAAGCAGATGAGATTTAATTTCTGTCTATTTTGATTATGTAATGCAGGTAATCTAGTTGTCTCAAAAGTTTGACTGCATCTTTAAGACCATGTTGCATTGCAAGAGGGGGACATTAATGCTTCTAGCTCTTGGGATGATTAATTTGAGTTTCACAGTTGAAACATGAACAATGGAACTTTTTTCTGAAAAGTTTATCAGTCATAGTTTTGGTTTGGTAGGGATTTGAGGGCATTGAGCTACACTTTGGTGACAGAAACTTAGTGCTACTTGTTCAAGCCCGGATAGTGTAGTGAAGGGAAATATCAGGTTAAGAGCTAGTTCTTATTTTTCCTTCTTTTAGCTAATATCTGAGCATTGGCTTTCTGAGTTTCAGGATTTTACCAGAAAGAAACACCGTGTTGACAAATATATAAATAGCTTGTAACCTATGTGTAATGTGTTTAGGCTAAATGGATGTTCCTCGTGGTCATAGACTTTTCCATTCCAATGTGAAAGGTGAAACATTTTAATTTTTTTTCAACTTCGTTTTTTGACTTTAAAAATATAATTTTTTCTTTTTTTTTGGGTCAAAATTTACTCTTTTTAGTGATTGATTTTGATGCCTCCTTAAAAAAAAAAAAGAAAAAAAAGTGAAGAGCAGATCCAAGTTATACTGATGGATGTAGCAAGGTCGAAAGATCTGCTAGTGTGTGCAGACCGGTGAGTTGGTTTAGCTATAATTTAAAACACGGACATATTAAACATATCCAATCATTAGTTCTTATCAAAGCTTCTGGGTTACTAGACTGTTTTTCGGCTTGTTGAATGGAGCAGGCACTGCAAGAAACTTTGTAATGTGGGAAACCGTTTCGAAAGGTCCTGGATAGTTCTCATGCTGATCGCACAAGTCAGAAGAGATCAACTTGTTGGCCTAATGCATGACGTAAACTAATCATTACTCAACTAGCACCGTTTTGTTGACTTTTGCACGAAACCATACTTCTGTCCTCATAGGCCTTTTAGCCTTTAGAAAAAAGGCAAAATAAATAAATTTTAAAGAAAGCAGTCTTGTTCAATCTGCACAGGATTATATCTTTTGATGGGTCGCTCATCCTCTCTCTCTCTCTCTCTCTCTTTTGTAGGTGTGGCTATTGCCTATTGGCTCACCTTCACTCTCAGGTTCTAGTCTCAATAAAAGCTACATGACATCTAACATAACGTGATAATATGATAAAATGATCTGAAAATAATATTAAAAAATATAAAAAATATATAATTTAAAATTTTAATAAAAATTAAAATATATATTTTATATATTTTATATTGATAAAAATTATAATATATAATTTTTATATAAAGTATAATATAAAAATATAAATCATAAATATTTTTTATAATATTAATATACTAATTGATAGATTTCATCCTAAATAAATATTGATCTTTTGCTTATAAAAATAATACCAATAAATGAAAATTTCAACATAGATAGAATCCGGAATGTAAAGGCTCCTCCGTCTAACCAAACCAAACTAAATCAAACCGAGCGGGTCCTTAAAGAATGGCCCTGCAATGCAAGTCAATTTCCTGGAAGCAGGGTCGAAGGTTAGTTTAAGAGAAAAGGTATTTTGAAAGAGAATAGAACAAAAGAAATCCGAGGGAGCTCATGAAAAAGTACAAGATTATTATCGTAAGGTTGTCCACTTGTTAGCAGACATGTGCCCTCGCTTTGTCTGTGGACCACACTGTCTTAACAGAATTCGAGGTCATGTGACTCATCATATCATTGAGTTTCATTGAGCTTGAGGTCCAACTCCAGTTTAGTTAATCCTTCGTTGAAAAAGAAACTGAATTGGAGTGTCGTAAGTAGAAATGACAGTATTTTCCATATTTAATAGGAATCTAATTTTTTATTTGAACCAGAATAAAAATAAATATTATATTATGATATAGAGACGAAGATAAATAATATAATATAAATTTTATATTATAAATATTTATATATTTAATAAATAATTTTTTAATAATATAATTTATTATTTTAAATTAATTAAAATTAACAAATTTTAATTAAAAAATATATTAATATATATTTATAAAATTATTTAAATATATAATATAAAATTAAAAAATTAATTTTAATTTTAATTTTTTAAATTTTAAATATAAAATTATTCATATCTATTAAATATTTTTAAAAATAAAAATAAAAATAAATTTAAAATATTTATTAAATATAAATATAAATATAAATAAAATAAAATTTATTTATATATATATAGAAAGGCTCTATCTTTCTCATCCTGTAAGTAGGGCCGATGTTAAAAGCATAGCTAAAATTTTAAAGTAAAAAAACTGATCAATCCGGGACACTTTTAACTGCTGTACGTATTTGAGCTCATCTATAATTGCAACTCTGTTTTAACTGTTGTACAATTTTTTTATACATACATTTTGTGAAAAAAAATTTTAAATTGAGATTTTTTTTTTCATTTTTTATAATATAATAAAAAGTCTTTTAGATTTTATTTAGGTGTCTAATCTTTAAAATTTAAATTATGTTAAAACGGTAGCCGATCATATTTTAATCTATGTTAACTCTTTTTTGGCACAAAAAATATATTTTCTTACATCGATTTATATATTTAAAATTTTACCTTTAAAATATTTTCAATACTATTCAAACCCTAATTGATCAAAAAAATTTTCTTTTTATTAATTGGATTAATCTTTATAAGGTTTAGCTTTGTAAATATGAGAATATATATTAGCCATTTTTAGTACATAAGATGATGGATAAGATGAAATGATAATTATTTTATATTATATTTGATTTGTATTTAAAAATATATATATTACAAAGAAAATTAATCATCATTTTGATATAAGATGATTTAATCTTTTTAAAATTGAGAGAATTATTTTTAATAAATAAAATTGAATTTACATATCTTATTATAATCTTAAAATTTATATTAATAATTTAAATTATATAAATTTTGAAAAAAGATAATTTTGATCAATAAATAAATTATCTTATCTTAATTATTACATACATCAAATATAAGATATAATGATATTAATTTTGATAAATAAATAAATTATCATATCTTAATTGTTACATATATCAAACATAAGATAAAATTATATTATTTAATTTAATCATATTCATAATATCATTTTATCATATTTTATCATAATCTTATCAAACATATTCATTAAGTAGTAAAGTAAATATTTAAGTGAAATTGTGGTAACAATTACAATATGGAAATATCCTTTTAATATTTGATACTATAATGCATTTTATTACAAATTTTCAAGCTCTCTCTTAACCTCTCTCAACATTACATGTTAGGTTAACTCAATGGTTTTTATTTCCTATCAAAGTTGAAAAAAAATTCAAACTTATTTCTTGAAGTAGAGAAAGATACATTTATTTATCATTGAAGCCAACAACAAAATGACAATAATTTAAATCTAAAAAATTAGCAGCATTAATTATTGGCATATATTTTAATTAGCATTAAATTTTCTTATTTTTGAGGGAAAAAATCAAACTTGTTTTCTTAAACAAAAAAATACATACACAATTAAATCAAAGATGCAAGAATTATAATTTGAAAAAAATAAAAATTAAATGTTTTATCCAAATTTAATGAATAATGATTGGCAAAATATCTCAAATGGAGGAATAATTCTCCAACACTGGCACATAAGCTGATTGTGAGTCCAAAAAATTTTACTAGTGTGTCCACTAACTATCCAATAAAATGTCAGTACTCTCAAATTCTCACCCTTTTGTCTATTCCTTGCCAGCTTTTGCCAGCTCCTACGCATCATCATTTGGGTTGGTTCAAATTTTTATTAAAAAAGAAAGATTTGACCACTTGAGCCAAACCACAAAAATACTTCATTTCAATTCAAGCCCTTAATCCTAAACTCCATGCAACACCTTTATAAGCTCACCACGTGTCCCCTTAGCCAACCCAAAAACACTTGTCGTCCAAGCAAAGGAAGTAACTCGGTTCCTTCAAAACGACAGTAAGACATAAAACATTGTGGCACACAAGTTGGAACGTTTTGATGTTGCTTGTTTTCCATTTGCAACGGTTACTTTTATTGTATTTCTAATTATATATTTTCTCTCTCCCTCCCACAAAATGGCTATTTCTCCGCGAATCCAATCTAAACAGGAAAAAACTTTTAAAAAAAATTTTTAAGTAAAAATTGTAAATTTTTTTATTAAAAATAATTAAATAAAAAAATAAAAAATAAAAATTTTTATTATATAAATTAAATTAAATTATAACTCGTATAATACACAAATATTTTACTTATTTAATACACAAAATATTTACTTATTTAATATGAATATATAGTTAATTTATTTTTTAAATTATATGCAAAATTTTAAAACTCATAATATATATAAATTCATATATATTAATTTGTCATAAATAATATTTATTCACCTATAAGATTATGTCAAATAAAAATAAATTATGCCTTTGTTCGAAAAATAAAAAAATATTATTGAATGATAAATTAAATAATAAAAAAAATTAACATACTTTCACTCTAGTGATTTTGACTAAACTATTATGCAAAATATGAAAAATGTTAAACAATATGCAAAAAAAAAAGAAAAAAAGAATGTTATTTTTCATAAAAATGAAACTGTAATTATAATAAAATATATATTAAAAAATTATAAATAGAAAATAAATTACAATAATAATAGAATATACATTGAAAAAAGTTACAGAAAAATAAAAAATTGATGTATAACACATTACATTTGTAGTTTTTAATTTGTAAAAAAATTATTTAGCGGCAATTAAGAATAATATCATTTTAAATTAATTTTTTAAAATTTAAGATGGATATAAATGAATAAAATAATATTAATTTTTTTACATTTATTTGAACTATAAAATTGATAATTAGAGTTCAAATATATAAATGGTTTTGATGATCTTATTATTTAAAAATTTAAGCTGAAAATTTTTTG